ATTGTATAAGAATCTCCTCCTCGTTGTTCTCCACAGGTCGTTATTTCCACGTGGTGATTCAATGGTTTGTATAATCGATGACAGGAATGATGTCTGGAACAACGCGCCTAACCTTATTAAAGTCAAACCATATCAGTTCTTYAAGGGTGTTGGTGACATCAACGCACCRTCAGACAAACAGCAAGAGAATGCTGAGCCAAAATCGGACAATAAAGGCGAAGGAGATGAAGAAGTGGAAGATACTTCCAATGTGGAACAAAATGTTAACAAAGAAGACATGAAGAAAGTCGAAGCAGAATCAAAAGCAGAGGAGGAGATTGCTGGTAAAGACGTTCAAGATGGTGATCCTAGTGGGGARCAATCTGACAGTAAAGATGAYATTGAGAATTCAACTGAAAATWATGTTAAGGAAAAAGGTTCATGTACAGCAGATGACATTTCCCTTGGCAAAGAATYACCAGATTGTAACAGAGTCACTCAAGAAAACATGGAAATTTGTCCTGGTGCTTACGAAAAGAAACTCGTCAAAAAYGATAAAAATGGAGAATCGTCATCTAAAGAAATTAGTAAAGAAAGTGACAATTCCAGTACATGTGCAGAGAGTAGCCATGTTGACAAGATGGAGRAAGCAGCGTTTACAGCTGAARATAGTGAGAGTGAAAAACCAAAGCAAGTAAATCATAYAAGTGAAGAATCGACYCAAAATGWTAAAACAGAAGGGACTGCAAATTCCACTCTTACTAGTAATAAAACTCRTAATCATTGTACARSGGAGCTTCAAAATGAGCAGCAAGCTGATRCAAGGAGTAAAGAGACAATCAGTGAAAGTATTCAAAASTTTATTAMAGAGGACATTGTACATGAAAAAGACACCCAAGACACTGGTATTTGCAATAATAATAATGGTAGTGATATCAAGGAAAAGAAAAGCGAAGAAGAGAAGAAGGACACACAAGAAAAACCTGCAAAACAGGCAAAATCAATTGTGAAAGAAAAAGGTAATGTGAATTTGCTTT